TTCATTGAAGCTGATTTGTCTTTCAAACTTTATTCTTCTCAAAACTCAATATTTGACTTGATTGAACTAGGATATCTGCCAAGTCCACTTTTATTTTGGTTTCAACTGGCTGTCCTAATAGAGTGTGAATAAATCTTCCAAGCTTAAAAATAATTAGATTATCAAGAGGAATTTGATGAAGGATTTGTGTTTTGCAGGGTAGTTAAGCATGTAGTTCCATAGAAATAGTGCAAATACAATTGTTTATGTATTGGATCTCAAATCTGAACATGCTTATGCCTAGAAAACCTAAGGAGTTCTGCCTAAGGAATCTCTTAAGATACTGCCAAATTATATTCAAATCTTCAAGTCTAGTCATCCAAGTTTTAAAAGGTATTCAAAATTTATGATCTCAAAGAGAAATTTAGTGTAAAGAATATGGGCTTTGTAGTCAGATAGACTTGAGTCAAATTCTGCTATCACTTTTTCAAGTTTGTGCCTCAACTTCCCCACTTGTAAATGGAGAGCATTTATGAGAAATGTCTTTTACATAATGAGGACTTACTACATTTTCATGCAATTCTAATACTGGCTACATGTTTCTTTAATGATCTTCTAGAGATTTTGGAAGTAAGTTTGCCTTCTTCACGTCTTCCTGCCTGTGGAAAATTTTAAATACCTTTTTGAGGCCATCTCTGTCCCTATTGCCTAATTTCCGATCACCACAGTATCTTACTTGGAGAAAGAAACAACCTCTTAAGTAGTCCTTTAGACCACCTGTCCCTAAATTCTTTCTTCACTTAGTATCCTAAAAACGAAACGTTCCATCTTTAAAATCCTTTAGTAGCTACCTATTGCCTTCAGGATAAAAACCAAATTCCTGAGCCTGCCTTCTGCCTGTGTTCCTTCTGCGTATTTTATCTATTAGTCTATGTCTTTTATTCTGCATTCCAGCTCTGTAAGAATTACTTGAAGTGATCCAAGTGTGCCCTATCTCCTGCCTGGAATGTTAATCCTATCTCTCTCCTGCTTTCAAAATGTGCCTTGGTTTCTTCTGCTCCAGGAAGCCTTCTTTGGTCTCTTCTCATCTTGACTCCACGCTTCTTTGATGTGCTCTTATAACCCCGTACTGCTCTCCCCAATAGTCTGTAACCTCCCACCTCCAAGGGGTAAGCTTCCTGACATAAGATTTTATCTTCTTCTTTATACCCAAGCATTGCACACTGTCTGGACTCATACATGTGGGCTTCAAGAAATTGAAGGAAGGAGAGAAAGGAAGAAAGGAGGGAAGGAAAGAAGAAATGTTTCCCTTATTTCCTGGGGAAATTTGTGTTCCGGGTAAAGAAGGATCATTATCCCATGAGATAACAAGGAATACTTATACAAACATCATTACCATAGAAGACAATCAGTAAATATCTGTAGCTTTGATTCAGTGACTAAATAAATGCCACTTATGTACTTAGATTAATATGGACTTAGTACCATAAAAAGACACTTTTTTCAAGAATGACTTTAATTATTTTCCTCACCACTGAGCAGCAAGAGTGTTCAGTCAAGAAATTTCCTCTACCTGAGTGTCCTAGGGAACATAGCTGCTTTGATGCTTAGGGAATGTCATTTTCTTCCATTTTGCCCGCCATCACACAGCCACCTTTCTGATGTGACCGGACCCAGGGTGTGTTGAGCCAGTCGCATTATCCCACAGTGTGCCTGCGCCACAGGACCCAGAGAGGCTGACTCACTAGAACAGGTAATTAGGAAGCAGTAGGACAGGAGAGGGGAGAGGAAATCTAATTTACAGCTCACTGGAGAGCTCTGATTCAGCGTGGAGGAGAACTGAGGTGGGAGATTAAATTATCTGTGAGCTCACCTCTCTAAAATTATTTTGTCTGTCCCCTTTTCATTTAGAAAACATATGTTGTGAATGCAAGGATTTAGCTTCTGCTCCTGAAGAGTTGGCAGCTGAGAGCAATTTCTTGAAATCACCTGGAAAGGATAGAATTAGCTTTAGGATATCTGCTATTTCAATAATGGCAACTACTACACATTCAGGAAACAAAGATGTCCCAAAGCTCTTAGGACCTTCTAGCAAATGTAATCACATATCTAGTTAGGTGCATATACCCATAGAGGACATTCTGTCAAATCAAGGGTATATTCTGGCCTTTGTGTTAACAAAATGCAAGGGCTTGTGTAGATATAAATGCCTAGAGCCCAGTGGGGGCTCTTCCTTCCTTCGGTGCCTACCTCTGAGCCACAGGGAGACTTGCAAAGTCAGTTGCAGAAATACATTCATCCTTTGCCTTCACGCTTATAGACTTATGTTAATTGTTTGTTGACTGAAGAGTAGTAACCCAGAGAGGAAATATAATTAATTCATTCCAGAAATATTTGCCAAATGTCTATTTCATAGTAGACACTATTCTGAACACTAGGAATAATGTGTTCTAAAAAATCTAAATCTTATGCTTCTGATCTTATTTATAACTTCTGATACATTTCTGATTTTATAAAACTTAATCTAGAGGAAACAGAGGAAACATATTTAAACTAACCAACTATTTGAATGAATGAAGACATAAAAAAAAGAACCAGATATAATTTTGGATAGTGGTAAGTGCTATGAAGAAAAATCAAAATAGGTAAATGGGGTAGAGAGAGTATATGTGGGGCAAACGATGGTTAGCTAGAGCTGTCAAGAAGTCCTTTCTGGGGAGGTATCATTGAAGATGAGTCTTGAGTGCTGAGAAGGAGGTAGTCCTCTGAAGATCTGGGGGAGAAACATTCTAGACAGATGGACTATCAGGTTAGGAAACCAGTAGGGAAGATAAACGGTAAAATTAGGCAGGACCTAGGAGGCCATAATTAAGCATTTGGGTTTATACTGAGGACAGTGGGGAATTACTGCAGGGATAAGGCAGGGGGATGGTGGTACACCATTGGAGGGCATGAGACGGGTCATGGGAAAGCATGGGAAGGCATAGAGCAGGGGAATGACGGGAAGGCATCGGAGGGTATGGAGAGGGAAGGACTCACTCTGCCTGCTGGAGAACAGAGTGTGAGAGGAGATGAGCAGCAAGGTGGGCGTGGGCTTGAATTGGCTTAAGAGAGTTGATGCTTGAGATTTTTATGTGCATTTGTTTCCTGGGATTGTTAAAAATTTCCACGTGAGAAATCTCCTCCCAAGCACAGAACCTTATAACCCAGTAGCTGTTTGTGCAGTCACTGCTATCACAAAACTGCTCCCTGGGATTCCTTAGTGAAAGCCTTCTTCTAGTGTTACTGTAAACGTGAAAACCGAGAGGAGAAGATCAAGAGTTAGAGAATTCGCCTGCCTCGCCTGTGTTAATATAGTCTGCCCTGGAGTTCACCTCTTCCCTAAGTACTTGTCCCATCAGTGAAATTCAACTCCGCAGGTCCAGCCTTCATAGCACAGGAACCATTCCCCTCTAAACTACCCTAGGGTTCTGAAATCCAGAGCATGCCTGGAGTATGCAGGGCAACCTGGAGTATGTCCAAGGGACCTAAATATAGAGGGGCACTTTTTTTAAATGGTTGTATATCGTTGTGCTATTTTAGATTGTGTTGAGTTCACATATTGACAGCACAGGCCTCCCTTCCAATGGGTAGAAATGAACCATGTCATGAATTACAAAGTACGTTTGAGGGCCAATTTCCTATTGCTTGCACTGGCCACCAAAATTGCTAGTTCCCTCTTTGCTTAACCTATTTTGAGAAACTTTGGTTCTTGAATTCAATACCTATAATCTATTGTCTGTGGTTCAGCCCACTTCTGTTCTCAAAAACCTGCTGGTATGTGACTCCTTACACCTTCCTTCCTGAGTCCACTCACCAACCCTGAATCATCCTGACTCATTCCATCTAAATCTCCCTGTCTCCTCGCAGCCGACGTCTCTTTTAAGGTTTTACTCATATTTCCTTCCTGCTCCGCTTAACGGACAAAAGGCAATATGGTCAAGTCAAAGTAAAGTTTAAAAAATAAAAGAAAAATGCAGAATACTTTTAGTAAAGCCATGTAATATCTATCAGTGTGTCAAACTCCTGTCATATTTGACATATTGGTGTTATGTATAAATGTAGATGGTAATGTCTTTGGGATTTGGGGCTTTTATATTTTAAGGAACCAGATTGGATAGAAAGGTTAATAGTGACCAGAGCAATTTTAATTTGGGCCACTTCATATTTTGGCTTATCTCACGCTACAATGGATGTTGTTGACAGTGGTCAACTCAATAGATAGGCTCTAAATAAACTTTGGGCACATGCTTAAAGTATGAGAATGAATAAAAAGGTAGTTTTTGAAAATTGACCTTATTTTCCATCTAAACCCTTTCATTTTATTTGAAAATTATGCACTTCTCTTAAAAAGTTATTGCTTGTTGGTTATTATGTTCCACAAGGGAAAGATGAGGTAAGTTTATAAATGTTCAATTTGTGAAATAAGTGAATGAATGAATGAATACATTTCAGAAAGGAAAATTAAAAAATATATTTAAGGACATCACCCCTTCAGTTAGAGAAAATAAATTTTTCATATGTAAGTAGAGAATTTAATTTGAAAGACAGCAAATAAAAATCATTATGCTGCTTCTTTTTTACTTAACAAAGTATATAATTAGTAATAATCAGAATAAACTTGTATGTGTGGTTAAAAAAAAACTTGACAAATTGGAAGGGGGGATTTGTGGAAATAGTAATATGCTTTAGTTCAAGAGCCATGTAACAATATCACTGATACTGGGTAGCAATATTACAGGCTTACTGTAACACCTGTCACTGCAACATCTCTTACAGAGGAGTCCTCATTAAGGACTAAGGGATATTAACATCCTCTGATCCTGAGACATAAAAATATCCTGGAAAGGACATGATTGTCTAACCACTATGCTGTACACCTGAAACACATAATAATATTAAATGTAAACAGTAATTGAAAAATAAAAACAAATAATCAACAACAACAACAAAAAATATTCTGGAAAATCAGCAAAGGAAAAGATTATATCCTACATATCCAAAGAAATTAGACATTATAGGGAAACTCTCAGTATTAATTTTAAAACGGGGGGAAATGTTTCCTCTGGGAACAGATGGTTCTTATATTTTAATTGCGTTCCTGCTCCCTGCCAATTCATTTGGGTGTTATACAAGGATACAGAGGGAAAAGGTAAACCATTTCCCCTCAGGTACACTGGTGTAGTGGAAAGAGCATCGAATTGGGTGTTGTGAAACCTGGTCTCTGTTGTTAGCTGTGGCACTAATTAGCTATGTGAGCAACCTTGTACAAATTATATTTTCTCTGGACATCAGTTTTCTTATCTATAAAATAAAGTCATTTGGACTAAATCATATTGAAGACTCTGATGTACTTTCTGTGTTTCTCTCTTTTTTTTTTTTTGGTCTTTTTTCTAAGTGCTCAAATACTACACTACTTAAGGTATATTCCCTAGCAGTTTTTTTCTCCCTCTCTGTCTCTTTCTTCAAGACCTGGCCTAGGAGGGTACTGAGTAAGCCCGAAGGAAAGCAGGAGGGAAATTAGCTACAGGAAGAGTTTGCACCCCCTCGCCCAGGAGGCCGAGTGCAGCTCCCACCGCCTGGGAAGGAATGATTTATGTGCAGACAGCATTTTCCAGACAAGCTCTGTACTTTTTTGCCAAGAGAATAAACTTTAAACTGAAGGCAGTAGACAGTTAAACAAGAGTCGGCACTGGGAACAGCTGTGAGTAGACAAGACCAGTGACTTATAAGGTACTGTTTCTTCTCGCTGGACTCTCCGTCAGGGCTCGTGCTCCCGGGCACACGTCTGCCGTGGGCACTGGACCCCTCACCTCCACCTCCCTCTGTCCTGCGAGAAAGCAGCCTCTTTAAAGACCTTCGCTTTGTGAGCTGCACTGGCTTGTGGCTGTTGATATTTGAAGCTGCTAGGATTTTATTTCATCTTGTTATGTTTTGTTTTCAGGAGCCAAAGGATCTTTGTTGTTATTTTATCTTAAAGCCGAGTTGAGGTTTGTTCTGTTGCTTCTTGTCATGGGAGGTTTTTATGGTTATTGTTTGTGTGGGACAGAGAGGGAGATGCTTGAACGTTACAGAATGTACAGAATGTTCCCGACTAAGGGGGAAGGGTAGCTGAATGCATCTTGAGCTGAAGTATAGAGCCAATGTAGAGCCAAGCGGGTGAGAGGACGGCGCAGGGACACCCAGGCGCTTTAACGGACTCGGTGGAGGCTAACTGACCCTGTCTTAGCTTTGCGGATCCGACCTGGGAAACATGCGTTTTTGAATTGGACTTTTACTTCTAGTTTGCTTCTATATTTAATTGTTCACTTTAAACCTTCCTCCCTTTTATTCCTATTTATTTTTTAAAAAATTGGTAAGCCTGCTTTTGTCTTTTTCAAGTGAAATTTATCTTAAGTTCATCCACTTTAAGGGAACAGCATTCCTAAGAAGAGTGACATTTGCAATAAGGCATCAAATCACTGAACTGTGGAGGGGCTCTCAGAGCAAAAGGGGAAATGCCCAAAGCGGCAGTGCAGTGGGCAGAAGGGACCCTGTACCCCCGCCATCCGAGGTGTCACTCTTTTCCCAGAGGGCTGGATAGCTGATACGTAATATTGACTGCTGGTCAATAGACAAATAATAGAGACAGTTAGGGACTTCTACATATGTGGACTTTGCAAAAAGTGAAAGCTTACAAGTTTACAGCTAAAAATCCAAAAGTTTTAGAAAGATTTTGGCTATTTGGGGATAGCTAACTTTCTGAGATCCACTCTACAATTTGATCTCTCTCTAGAGGAAACTAAATTTAACTTAATGTTTTTGGAATTACTCAGCATTCTCCTTGTGGATACATGTTGTAGAACTATTCTATAATGTAATGTACTTTGGGGGCCTATTCTGTGGTGTATAAGGCTATTACTTCTTAAGTCAAAAGATCACATAACTGTGCTTTTCAAAATTTTTGTATTACGTTTAGAGGAATTTTTTTCTCCTATGTCCACCCTTCATATGAAAGTGTGGCTTCGTTGTTGTTTTTTATTGGTGTGGACAGTTTGCATTCCTCTAACAACTCCTTTCAACCTCAATCCCCCTTTATAATTATTATTTCTTTTGTGCTGTGCAACGAGAAAACCAGAAAAAATGTTTATAAAAAATTATAGGTAAAATGAGAGGCAATATCATTATCCAAAGACCCAAGAGATTCTCTTATGAGAAAAATGCATGTACCAAAGTGTGTAGACACAGTGACATCTATTTTAGGTGCTCAGGAGACTTTTGGTTCATGTCCAAGTTCTTAGTTGTGTTCTGTAGTAGAAGTTGCCATGGACGTGGCTTTGGGAGAAGCAAAGCATTGCTGCATGCAATACAGAAAGTCCTGTGTCTCCTTTTTATAAAGTTACTGGAGGTATACGTCAAGGAATCGGTGACTAATCAAATCCCAAGGGGAAGGCTTAATGTTAATCAAGGACTAAGTATTTATTTTAATCCCATTCACGCATGTGCTGTTCACATGCATATATGGCTGGGAATTCACCTAATAATGCTTTGTAGGAAAGAGAAAGAGGAAAATATTTTTCCTGTAATCTGTGTTATTCTTCTGTACGGAGATGATGCTTTAGGGAAAAAAATAATGCAAGGCTAATTTTCTCGATGATATCTTGATTTCTTTAATGGTGTCCTTACTTGTAAGTAACTTCTTTTAAACTGAAAATATTATAAAGCAATTTTATAAACTGTATGCATTGAACTCAGTTGCACCATATAAGTTTCATTATATTCATTATATTTTTTGTTATGCATTTCACAACATAAAGACTCACTGATTACTCGATGATCTTGATAATGCTGAAAGTCACATTTATTAATCCCCTTCTACACAAGAAAAAAAACTGGATATATTAGACAAATGCATGAACCCGTAAAGTGAGCCCAGGATAATTCTAAATTCCAGCTTTAATTTAATTAGATCCATTGCCAATTACTTGATCATACAGCTTCAGAAATATGTTGTGAGGCCTTTTGTGTTAGAGGTCTCTTCGACTTAAGTTATTTTTGAAATACACATTTTACATAGTCATTGTAGAAATTATTTCTGGGTATTAAAGCATCTTGTGGTGCATATGGCAGCTCTTTCTGTTTTAAATAATGAATTAGGGACTGTTTTTTGTCTGCAACAATGAATTTAGGGTCCACACATGTTTGGAAGCATTATCTCAAAGCTAGAGATTTCACTTATTTTTGCTCCCTGCTCTTTCAGTTAAATGGAATAAGAGACAATAAGAATTATTTTAAAATAAAATGTTATTCCAATTAAAACACAGCTTCTTAGAATTAAAAATATATATTTTGAGACAATGCAATAAAGTTTTGCTTTACTTGACTGAGTCTTTTAGTTTAATCAAAATTTAATTTTCACATGCATACCTAATTAGAAATTTGACATATGAAGGAACATGTATTTTATAATGAGAACTGTACCACAGGCCTAAACATAAACCTCCTGAAAACTCAGTGCCATTTTGAATACACATTGCTATTTATGAAATGCTTTTCAAAACTGGAAAAGGAAGAAACCACTGAAATAAATTAAGGCATGTTAGTGTCCACCTATATACCTTATAAGGGTCCTTCTTAACACAACCTTGCAAGAATTCATGCAAGGCTCAGAACCTACCCACTCATGAACCAGAATTCAATGAGCAGGATTTATGGTTTCCAAGGTGCTGTCAAGTTGAATGCTGTAGGCTGTGAACAGGTGAGAGAAGTTATCGATATTTCTGAAGGTGTTGAACAGGGAAAGATAATTGCTTTGTTCTCATAAAAATTCACATTTAGTGCATTTTCAGTTATAACCTCTCAGATAATATTCTCAAACTGACTCAGGTCTGTCCTTATATATGAAATGCCTTTGTTTAATGTACTGAATTGGTATTTTGGACAATTTAAGAGGTGATGTGATTAAAGACCAAGGTTCTTTTTGTGCATCTCAGTCATGCAATAAATTTTTGTTGAATTCATATAACTTCTAATCTTTAAATTCAAAGGGCATTAACAAACAAAATGATACTAAAATTATGTGTTTTATACTTTGTATTTTATTATTAAAATATTTTTTATTTAGTTTACTTCTGGGTCATGCTAAAACATGAACATTTCATTGAGCAATGTCACTTAATAAATTAAGTTGCTATTAGCAAACAGCAATTTAGAACTGTAAATTGCTATGAAGAAAAAAATCTAGTACCTGCATCAGTAATAATTTAAAAAGTAGAGTTGGAGGACATGAAAGTGTCAGCCTTTTTTTCCATACCCTTTTATTTGTTATATCTTGCTGAAAGTGTTAAGGAATTTATAATACATTTGCTACAAGCAGATACCGCCATTATTTTATTTTATTGACATTATTTATTTTTATTATTTTGTTGGTAAAATAGGAAAAAAATGGAAGAACGAACAAATGTGGTTGAGTCTAAGACAATTTTATATGCAAAATATGATTTTGGTGAACTTAAATTATTACAGAGTAATTTTTAAAGATTATATAAGTTATAGAGTTCTAGGCAATTACTGATATCTTTCCAAACTAACAAAAAAGAAAAACAATCTTAAGGAACAATTTCCTTTTGCTTTACCTTCTCTCTCTAACCCACGTTATTTTGAATAAGTTTAATACCAAGGGTGTCCTCTTCAGCACTTCTCTGTAGCATGTGCTATTACCACAGGGAGGACAGCGTTTGTGTGTCTTCCATCCCCACACTTGAAAACATTATGAGTAGAACTGAATACATTGGAATTGGACAACTTTCCTGCAAACCTTGGGAGTAAAACACCCTACCTTACCCATAAGGGATTTACCAACCATGATTATGAAGAGTAACAATATAAGAGGAAAATAAATTATTGTCACCAATTCCACACTATAGTGGATTCACTCCTATTGTTAGATTTCTTTCTGTGACTGTGTACATCATGTGTCAATTGTTGTTTTATCTTGTTTTTATAAAATTAGCTTAATATTGCATATTTGGATTCTACCTTTTTTCATTTAACATTTTACTGGGAACTTTTTCTATATCATTCAGAACACTTCGGGAAAAATTTACAGCTGCAGAATAGTCTATTCTACGGCTATACTGTACATAGTAGAACCTGCAGTGTTTCGTTGTGTTCTGTCATGAACAGAAGGAGAAGCATTTACATATGATTTTTGCTCATTTGATTATTTTAGAGCTGTAATGACTCAGAAATTCTCAAGGGCAAACCCATCTTTTCACAGAGTAGGGAAACTAAGTCCAGAAATATTACTCGTCTAGACGCTAGGCTCCCGGCTTTAAGTCTAATGCCTAAATCCACCCAGAACAAGTAATGACTGGGTGACAAATTTACTCAGGGGCAAGAGGTGAAAGCACAGTTTCCTTCTGTCTGAGTAAGAGGTCAACCATGTACCCTATTCTCTGAAAAATCCCCAGGGAACGGAAAGGTTCTCATGCTAAAGGAAGAACTCGGGATTCCATGCCAGAGTCTTTATTACACAAGGGGTGATAAATATATGACAGCTATGGGAACACTTAAAATAGCTGTCATTTCATTAATGAGTACTTGCTAAAGCATTTCCTGGGCCACTGGTGTTTATGGAACTTTTAAACAAAATATTTATGAAGATGAGACTAGGACTTGCTTCAGAAATTGTGTTCTCTTACTTGCACCTTCGCTTTTCCTCAATGCACATCCAACGTGCCAGCCTCTGCTAC